GCTGTGTTAAGCATGTGTTTACATTTTAGTATTTTGATCAAATTCTTTGAATACTACATATTTATTTAAGTGCAAACAAAAATACAGATTGGACCTTTAACTGCATGCAACCTTTGTGTTGCACTCCAGGGCAGAGAAACAGGCAGTGGCAGCAGAAGTTGGGAGGCCCGGAGCTGCATGATTTCTGCTCTCCTTCGTGCCAAAGCTGTCTCTGCTTTGAATGGATGCTCGGAAAGGGAGGAACAACTCTTTGGACTGAAGCCGCAGGACAGACAACATGACAGCTCAGAGTGGGAGCACGGAGAATGTAACAATGTTCCTGTCTGTCTGTCTGAGGGGGGAAAAGCCACAGCAGAGGCACTACCTGTTACCAACAGAGTGATTTCTCCCTCTGGGCAGTCTCTGAAGGACCTTGACATCAACACAAACACACACAGTGACAGGGGATGTAAGACTGAAGAGTTTGCCCGTCAGAGAATTTTGTATTTCACTGAAAGAATTCAAATATGTGATGTGTGTATTTGTGTGCCTGTGAGTGTGCGTGTGACAGAAAAACAGCAGGGGATCGTGAGCAGTGACCGGTGACATACTGAAGAAGCCAGGACACATCAATCAGAAGAACAGGTGCTTACACGCCGTCCCTCCCGTCTAATCCTGCCTGCCCTCGTACAGCAAAAGCTTGTTTCGTCAGTCGTCCACCTGCTTTGTCTTCTGACCCTTTTCTAAAAAGTCACAGAGAGTGACAACCTGCAAGCATTGTTTTTTCTTTTTTCTTTTTTCTTTTTTTCTTTCTCCAATTTTTCTAACAGCAGTGCTGTAAGGGTTAGTTGACACCTACAAGTAAAGTGAAGGTCTTGTCTTTTTTTTTATTTTTTTTACCAACATTCTTTTTATTGTTTTCACAACATAACAGATAAATACAAAGAAATACAATTACATGTCTTGAACAAACATGTCTACTGCAAAGTGCCAGTGTTTACATGTCCCCAGGCTCTTCCATCACATGTAACAAATCTGTTCTCAATACATAGCAAATGAAGGGGTCCCAGATTTGGTGAAAATTATGTTGTTGATGTTTTATTGTATATGTAATTTTCTCCAAGGGGAGAGTTGTAGATAGCTCAGACAACGACCTGCTTACACTTGCTGTCTTTTTTTCAAACCACGTTTGTACCAAAGTGCTTTAACCAAGAGGAGACTATGGACAGAAGATGCACGGAAATATGTACGCGCACATAGAGGATGCATGTTAGTGTAAAACTGCAGGTAAGATAAATTATTTTTAACAAAGACAGCAGAGGCTACAGCCAACCACAAATGAATAATAGATAAATTAGAGCCACAGAAATAGAATCAGGCACAATTGTGTGATGTAATGAGAGACAATTCCTATAAATCATCAGATTTGTCAGTCTGAAGGAAAATGTTCCACAGTCGAGGTGCTGAAACTGAAGAGGCCCTGTCCCAGTCACTTTCTAGACACTTGTGTTAAAATAATTGCACTTATGAAACTACACTTTCCAAATCCACCAAATGGCAGTTATTATGTAACAGCAACACACCATGTATTTTTTTTGTTTTTTTTAAATTACTCTACATTTGGCATCCCTGGTCATCAGTATGAACATTGCAGACTGTCACAACAGATGCAGACGGCAGTGATAAGCCTGTCACTGGCTGACTATTTCATTCTGCTATCTTCACCCTTCTTTTTGGTATCTGTTGTCATTGACAAAAATATTGACAAAAGTTAACGGTAAAACACTTTTATACATATTTTGATACAGCTTGGACTTAGCATTTGTTATGTTACTTTTAACACAAATGAGAAATGAGTGCAGACTAGATGTTCAAAGAGTTAAAAGAGTCATGCCATTTGATTTTTACACTGTGGAATTTAATGGAAATCACTGGCTGCCCGGAGAGATGTAGGTTGTTCAAGTGCTTTAAATGACTTGTTAGTTGACATCTTTAGTCGTAACATGACTGTTTTGTCTTATTAACAAAGATTGAAATGGAGATGCTGTTCCCCTACATGACTGCAGAATGTCTTGGGAGAAGATCAAGGTGAATGTTTACATTTTACTTTGATATCCAGGGACTAGCATCCCATCTCTTGCCATCAATCAATCATGGTTTCCTTTACCCATGACCACAATCTTTCACTAACATTAAAGAAGTAGTTTGACATTTTGGAAAATCTGTGTTTACCCTTTCTTGTCAAGAGCTAGATGAAAAGATCAAAACAACTGTCATGTCTGTTAAATATGAAGCTGGAACCATGAGACAGTTAATTTAGTTTAGCATAAAGAGGGGAAATAGGACCATTGCTTTGTCGGTCACAGCAACATCCTTTTGTTGTCACTGTGAGGTTGCCAGGCAACCAGCAGAGACTCTAGAAAGTGACTGCACTTGCATGAGAGCTAGTCCTGCACATAACCACCCGTAAAAACTATTGTTAGTCAGAGCTAATCCCTCCTGTTTCAGTCTAAGCTAAGCTAACAGGCTGTAGGAAGAAGCTTCATATTTACCGTAAAAACACAAGAGTGGTATGTCCCAAAGTGTTAAACTATTCCTATAAACAAGTAGTTATAGTTGCATAGAAATATTTTTATTTGTAATATTAAAGAGTAACTTAACACGAGGCTAAAAAGCAGTGTTTCACTGGCGTCTCTGGTTGAAAGTTTTAAGCCTGTTTCACCTCTGTCCGCACAAGGTCAATGATGTCACATGGTCCTGGAGTACACGTGTACATCACTACAGCAAGGTGAGAAATTAAACCTCTGGAGGTGAAGCAAAAAGCTTAACCTGTAATCATCAGAAAGATGTTTAGTGGGTGTTAAGTTACTCTTTAAAAAGGCTACACATGATTTGTGGTAAAGAGGATTAAACAAGCTTTGGTGGTCCTAGTAGTGACCCTAACACAGGCTGGGCATTTATCCCTCAAGACAAAAAGAATTCTCCAAATGAATGTAATTTAAGACTGGGCACTGATAACATTTTTCAGGTACTGTGTGCCTCCTATAGAGGATTTTGCTGATCTCCCGCTTTTGCTCAGTGAAAACATATTTGTTCGAGACTATAAACACTGTTATGATATTGGCTAAAAAAAAAATGTTGTTTTTGTATCTTCTGGCACTGTAGCTTAATTTGCAATGGAAGAGTGGGTGCTTCCTTTTTCAAATGTAATTTACTGACTGTCAGCAGGAATGCGGTAACTTGAGTCAGGGGTTTTTCAAAGCAAATCTCCCCGAGGTTTTACTCAGACCATGCTACTGTAAAGGATAAACAGAAAAAGCGAAATGTATTCTAGATGTTTCAACACTACACTGAATCAAACAAGATGGGGAACAATCACACAGAATTTATTCTACGCACACAAAACTTGGCGTCTTAAATCTCTCCAATGAAGTCAATTATTATACATCTCACTGTGGATATTATCTGAACACACTGGACTGAGTCATTATGGCCCACCATGATGTGCCTACTTCTCTTCCGTCTTTCTCTATGCAATACAATGACTCTCCCTCTCCTCCTGTCTCCCTCTGAGGTCTGTAAAATATAAACACACACACACATACACACACACTCTCTCACAGTCCTCAGAGACACACTTCCTCCCACCATTTCATCCCCTTCCTTCTCTCTCTTCCTCCTCCTCTCTTCCTATTTTTTTATTTGCTTTCTGCTTTCATTGCTCGCTCCCTCTCTCCTCTCATTTTTCCATCCCCTTCTTCCTGTTTTCTTTTGGTTTGTCTCTCTTTGTGGGAGGTGAACATTTTAAATCACCCCTGAGACGCACACCGTCTTCGACCTTCATGAAACACACACCTCGTACCTCTTCTTTCATTTTCTCCCACTCTCCTCCTTTGTGGTTTTCCTTTATATTCCTGTATCTTTATGTGGGGCATCCCCCCTGCACCACCGCCACCACCCTCCCCATCCTCACATATTGTCCAGCTTCCCTCTCTATTCTCTCATCTCTTTCAGCCTTGTTGGCTGGCACACTGGAGTCCGTCTTGCTTCATCCCTGCTTCATAGATGCAATTCGTCTCATTTATAGAAGGAAATGATCTTGATGTTAAAATCAGCAGTTTTTTGCATGAATTTTGTTTGTTTTCTCATGTGTGAATGGCGTAGATAGTCAATATTTTCTGAAGAGATTGCACAATGAAATCTAGGATGAGGAATGCCTATGTAAATGTGTGTAACCTGAAACACACACACCTCCTCATTTCAGTGAGTCACCCTCTAAATGTTTCTCCTCTCATTTGACTCAAGGAAAGCAGAGAACAGCTTCCTGAGAGCTGTCACCCTGCTCAACCAGCCATCCTCACACTCAACCACCCCCCACTCCTCCAACACACACTCAAAACGCTGCACTTTTCATTATTGTCGCATGTCTTAGCCTACATAAGAAGCAAAAAAAACCCCACTCTGAGAGCAGCAGATTTTCTGTCCGGAACAATTTTTAGAAACAAAGGAAGCAGGTTCAAAAGCATGTAGATGAACTGCAGCCTTAATCACCACTGTGCCCAGTTTGGACACTTGAAAACACACAAGTTCAGACTTCCCCCATACAGTGGCACATCCCTGAAATCTTTTTGATGGTAATACCTTCCGCAAAACTGTGAAAGATAAACACACACGCACACCAAAACCCAAAAACATAAACATAACTCAGTAAAGAAACACAGTCAATTCCCAGCAGGTCCCTTTTCCTTCAAGGCGAAAAGAAAAAAAGTATTTTTTTGTCAGGGAACAGAAGAAGCTGGTGGGGGGTCTGAGAGTGTGTTTTTGTGTGTGTATATGTGTATTTTTGCACTTAAGTAGGTGTGTGCTTGTGCCGAGTCCCTGCAGAAACTAGGGCTTTGCTTAAGGATGTAAGCTCTGACTGCTGAAATACAGAACCAGAGTAAGTGAGAGGAGGCGTACAAGATGGAACTGATAAATGACGAGGATTGTGAGTGATGAGAAACCCCAGCTTTGTATTTCACCTGCCAGAAGATGTTGTCGATGGTGTTGCCCAGGAATCCTTCTCTGTTGTCAGACGACAGCAGTTTGGGCCCCAGTATCGTCATGAACTCCTCGAAGTCCACCTGGCCGTCCCCTGTGGGCAGATACGCACACACACACACACACAACCACACACACAGGCAGGGAGACAGACCGGGATAATAGAAAATCAGACACACAGACAGGAAGGCTGGCAGACCAGAGCTAAATAATGCATTTTATGCTGAAGTTTACTTTCTTGGCGAAATAAAGAAAAGCGCCCTGAGACAGATCAACAGATGGATGTGCCTTCATCCATGACAAGCACCCATGCATCATCACCACTAATTCACCTTTCAAATAAGGTGTGTGCACCTGTGCGAGTGCGCACACATGTTCGTCTATGTTCGAGCAATTGTGGGATCGTTTTTGCATTGAAGCAACAATTCAGGGAACATTTTGCAAATTTAACTTCTAAGGACACAACTTGTAAGTGTACAATATGTATTCTACTGCTGCATGTTGTTAGAGATAGCAATCTACAAGCAGTGTCCCGTAGAATTAATACTCACTGAACATCTCCACTACAGCTTGTATTATAAACTGAGTTACTGCATAGACTAAATATTGATGGTACTGGTACCAGTTTACAGCCCTGCCTAATGTTCTGTTTATTGTTTGTTACAATAAGTAGCATATAAGAAGCATAGGAGCAGTCTACACAAGTCTTAGTGCTGCTGTGTTAGTTTTGGTAGTAGGATAACACTTTATTTTTTGGGTCTGTAATCATTTCCAAGAGGTTTTCTGCAAAGGACTGTTTAATTTTATACCAATTACAGAGCAAATGGAGACAATCTTCAGTTGGTACTCTTGCAATGAATTAATTCCAATTAATTGCAAGCAATTCAACATGTATGGAGAATTAAGTTTCTGCAGCTGTTCTTTCAAGGCACCTTCTCTACCATGATTAATGCCAAATTAGACAGTTCTTGACAAGGAAATATCAGGTAAAAATAAAGCATGACCTTATAATACAGTATATTATTGGTGTATCAAACAGCATTGGTTCTTTGTTTTGAAACCTGACTGCAGTTTCTCAAAAATTCAGCTTTAAATGAGCATAATATAATCTTACATTTAAATCCTAAAGGAAGGATAAGAAGATAATGCCAGAGATCAGTGGATTAAGATTTTTTAAGACAGGTTTTAATGACATAAGATTAATCATCTGAAGAACTGTACAGGTTGTCTAACACCTGATAATACCTGACAGTCTCAAACTAATGGTGTCTGTTACTCTCAGTGCTTTGCCAGCGACGACATCGAGACGATAGAAGTCAGAGGTAGAGGATCTTGAGACCGATACTGTCCCTCCTCAGAACAAATGGCAGCGCTGCTCTCAGATGGTCGGACTGTCATGGAGGCTAAAGCAAAAAGCTTTTGGCTTTGACCTTTGATGTTTACCACAAGCTGTGGAATCAAAAGCAGGCAGATAAGATCCAGTTGAAAGATTGACTAGCTTGTCTGTGATGCAGGAACTGCTTAGGAGTAATTGCAATCCACTGTGAATTTACAAGCAGAGCTGGAGTTTAAGAAGCCAGACCAGACAGGTTCTCTCTTTATTCTCAAGGGGAATTTGTTTTTGACAATTGACTACCTGCTGCTTTTAGAGCAGTTTAGAAACAGTTTTGCAGGGACATTGCGAGGAAGCTGTAACTCAAAATCCCACTCTGCCTCAAGCAAGTGAAAGAGGCAATAAGTTCTTTGTTTTGGCATCATTTTCATTTACATCACATTACAATTAAAAGAAGCTTATCAAGCGTATACACATCATACTTAATATGAACTATAAACAAACATTATATACATGCAGTATATATTAAATAGCCACTTTTTTATGAAAAGGTTCTCTTCTAGTATTTTCATGTGTCCATGCATGCTCTGTGCATGCACCCAAGTGTGTGTCCTTATGTAGTGCCTCACCATCCATGTCCAGTCTCTGCATGATGATGGCCAGCTCCACTTCGCTGGGCATGTAACCCAGGGAGCGCATGGCCATGCCCAGCTCCTGTTTGGAGATGAAACCATTCCCATCACGATCCAAAACGCGGAACGCCTCACGGATCTCTGCACAACAAACACACAACACATGATTGTACATATGATATGGTCTATGTTTGTCTGTCTGTCTTATATATACATAAATTGTTTCATTGATATTTATTGAATGCTTTGTTAACATTGTGGTAGATCCATTTATTTTTTATGTGAAGTTAATTTTTGTTGGTGATGTGTGGCTTTCTGGTTAGTTTGGGACAAGGTTGGCAGGTGTGGTTCAGGATGTGAATGTGTCTTTCAGCTCTCTTTTACTTTTTCATTTATTTTCCTCTTGTATCCTCT